GCGCCCCGTCTATGCGAATTTCGGTCTTCGATAAAGCGAATGCGACAACTGACTCGGTCTGCGACCTTGGTCAGCGTGTGCAGATAAGCTGTAATCAACCTGAATAACTTAGTCAAGATCCGATGCCTGGTACTCCATGCTGGTATATCAGAAAATTGGTCCACGCTGGTTATAAACTGGACAGTTAAATAAAGAGACCGAACAGAAGTTCCGTTTCTCCTTCTTCCATAGTGACTCCGGCACATTCTCTCCCAGACCATTTTTATTGCGACGAAGCCCTATAGGCGACAACCTGTATCTGCTACTGCTTTATTTTTATGTCTCTGATGGTGAATCCGCGACGGATCTCGAAACGACAGGCGACTAAAGGTATTGTTCCTGCGATCGAGTCATCATCTTCTCGACATTATGTGTGCTGAGTAGATGAGGCGTGACCACGGCCCACTGGGACCAGTGTTAAAGATATACTACTAAAACAAAATTGTTTTGATGCGAACAGCGAAAAGTGTCCGTTTATGCAGTCAAAGGAATAACGGTTTTTTCAGATGTTACAAGTCTACAACAGGATGGCTACGTGAAGTTTTCTGTCTGTTTTGATAATCTTCATTTTGTGTGCTATCTACACGAAATAAGACCTATTACTTACAATGAGATGGTAAGTTAACGATGAATAATATTGGTAAATGTTTCTCTTAAGGCTTTTAAGATACCGGCAAACCGATGGAAATTATCAATCTCACTGGTTGCTGACACGCCTCTGAAATATTAGTTCACTACATAATAGGGGACGAATATGTAACGGCCCGCCACTTCACTGACACATCAATAATTACACACGGACATTAAGTAATACATCTATGCAAACTGACCAAATTAAGGGAACTTTCCAAAAACGCGATTAATCGTTTCATAGTTCGCTAGCTGACAGCAAGCAAGGATGGGACAACCTAAGTAGTTGCAACCACATCATTCCCTGGCTGAAGGCAGTCATGTTCGCAGTCTAATTCCTGCACTATGTAAATGTAGAAGCGGCTGAAGCGGAACACACTGATCGCACGATCGGTGCCTATCCAAAAGCATTAGGAAGCACCTCCAAACATGGCTGACACAAATATGAAGTAAGAAGCATAAAGAACGCTATTCTGACGTGCACATTGTTGATTCCGGACATAGTGCGGACCTCAAGGAAGCCCAAGTCGCAGGGTCAACGGATGCTAGCAACAGCAGAAGCAGGCGCTAGCAGGTTGGAGAAGCCGGTCTTGTGTGCACAAAAGAGGCCCGGACAAGCTCCACGCTTGACATAGCCAACTGCGTGCAGTTTTCCACGCTCTCTCTCTCTCTCTTTCTCTCTCTCTCTCTCTCTCTCTCTGCCCCCCCCCTCCCCTGGGACGGCTCCAACAAACATCACCGCCGCACAACCAGCCCTCTGTTATTGACCCTTACTCCTCCCCGCTATTATAATAATTCATTTGCATGAAATGACAGACATAAGTGACCGCATGTTTACCGTTGAACCCGTTCCCATGTAAAGGTAGTGACCCGATGATAATTTATTGAAAGTTTATGTATGCTCTATAACTGCTCCTCTGAATTCTCTGATGGGAATTTTTGCAATATTGTAATCAGGTAGGTTTACAGAGTTTTAGCCAACATTCAGTTTGAAAATGTGTTTCGCCATTTCCCCTCAACTGTTTAAAAGCGTTTAAGTCGATACTATCCTTTGAGCCGAATATTCGCCACTTATCTCCAAATAATGCACAATGGTAACTCTTGTTATGTACTAATGCGGTGTTGGTGGCAAAATCAGTTTAACTAAAAGGGCAACTATAAGGGAATCTCTGGTGTGGAAACTCATGGACTATAAATATAGCAGAGGGCTTTAAAATACACAGTCTTCTGTACGGTCAGTAGTTGCTAAAAAAAACTGACCCTTTTGTTCACACATCAAGCATTTTACAAGCATTTTTACGACAGGTCATCACACGTGGCCTAAAAGCACATCAAAATGTGCTTTCAAAAAGTTTTTTTGAAAAAGGAGGATATTCACTTAAAGTACGCGGCAAGAAACGGGCAAGAAGCAACCTGAACAGCACAGTAAGGGTCAAAAAAGCAGTTCTTTGATTGAAGACTAGGGATACATACATAAATAAGGGAGAGAATAAAAGTTGGCCGTCGTGCACCTTGGTACCAGCGCTATAAGTGGAGGGCTATATGCCCTCTGGCAGAGGGGAGTGCCAAATGGGTTTATGGACCAACCAGTGAACCAGAAAGATTCCCTATTTTATTGCGCCACGTGTCAAAAAGAGGTAGACCGGAATTCGTCCAATTATGTGATTAACTAACACCCGCGAACTAAGTATGTGCCAAAAATGAGGGGTCAATTAGCACCCAGTTATATCTGTGACAGTTTATGCATCATATTTATCATTTTTGGTAAGTTGCTATTTTTTGAACCGATCTTGGTGTATCTTCCTCCCTGTTAATGCTCGTTTACAGACCAGCGGAACGGTCCTTAGAGAAGTAAAATAGATTCCAAAGCAAAAGCTCATAGGACTGCATCCTCTTCTTCTTCTTCTAAGATAAGGTCAGCAGTACGGTCCTGGTTGAACACTTTTCGCTTGGTGTGGACGAATATGCCAGAATGATTCGTCATTGTGGCTTGATAAAGACCCGCTGGGTCTTATTGGCTCATTTACTCATCTCGTCGTTTCTTGAGGTCTTTTTTAGAGCATCCTCTACATGCATTGAAAAAAACCCAAAAATGAAGGCAACTGAGCTGAAGCAACGGCACCGGTTGGTGTCCAGCGCCTGTTGCGATTAGATTTATGGTCAATGAAAAGGTGAATCGTTTGGAGCTAAATAAGCACAAGGGCTGCTGCGAACAAGCAGTCCATTATTTTTGCTTTCTGAGATATTAAATAAACATACATGACTTTTTTGAAACTCTTAACTTCCCACGTAGTAATGAATTGTGTCAAAACTGTCGTCAGCACGATAGATGCCTTGTAGAGACTATCTCGATTTCGGGCGTCCAGGGACCAAGAAAGTGGCCACGGCCTAACAAGAAGGTCAAAAGGACGTTCGAGCAGTCTATGTGTCTATTTTGTGTTCTCAGTTGTGTAAGGGGATTTTTATTGAGTTCTCTAAGACGACAGAGTCAGTTGTGTGAAAAAGGACACGAGTGGTCGGCTTAAGTGGGGCTAGCCTACTCATTTATAATACAAGAGTAGGGCTCATCGTGAAATCGGGCATAAAACTAAGCTACTTGGCGAGAATAATAGGATTAACTGGGACAGTCCATCACACAAACACAAGTTATATCTGCAATGATAAAATGACGGTCACTGAAACTTACAAAGATTCTCTTTCTGTAGAGTGGTCGGTGCTGCAGTTCTGGTTTGGGGATGGTTTCAGTATTGGCCTTGGACGTCACAGGCCGGTTCATAGAATGTGCCCGATATAACGTTGGCCTCTCATGCTTCTCCACGTAGACGCTTTCAACGATTCGGTTTGGTCGATGATCACTAGCAATGTGCTCACCCCGTCGCTCGAGGGCGCTCTCCGTGAGAAAGTTGTAGCTGACATCTTTTGGCTGCAGGGGGCATTGCGATCGACTCGGCGTCATTTTGTCCGGATTGGTGGAGGCATTGTAACCGTGGTGATTCCCTGCGTACAGAAAAAGAGAACAGGAAAAGTTTGTCTCGAATTTTGGGACACTTCAAGTTACTACGGCATGCGCATCACATAGGGATGATAAGCTACTGTTTAGAAGAAGAAGATGCGATCACTGAAACAAGAGTTTTATTTGCCTGACGTTTCGGATTCCCTCGGGAATTCTTAATCATAGGTGATGATAACATAGCCATGGCTATGCGCAGATGGGGTGGAGACATGCACAGGCAAAATGACAGGCGCATTACCATGACCATGTTATCATCACCTATGATTAAGGATTCCCGAGGGAATCCGA